GGTCAGGGCCTGGCCCCGGGAGGTGGCAGCGAGGAGGAGGAAGGAAGTGGGGGGGGAGTGGGGGCTGCTCTTGTGCCAAACCCCAGGGCCTGCCATTCTAGTGACCATTCTGGGAATTGAGCCAAAATGGCGGTGACCACTTGGGGACTCGCTAACTTCAAAGTTGTCCCCAAATCTTTGCGGCCATCGGCATCCCCTGAGCAAATGAGGAGGTCAGAGGGCAGGGCAGGGAGCCCCGGGAGCTACCTTGCATCAACCCCAGAACGCCCTGTGTACACCTGATACCCCGCCACGTCCTGTCCACGCCCCTCAGCCTGTGGACGCTGCCGGCGGCCCCTCCACTGCATGACAGTCCCGCCTGAGCGCGGAGACGCAGCGGGAGAAATCGGGAATTGCACCAACCTTGCTCTTGTCCTCAGTCCTGGCTGCTTGTCGGCAGGCCGGGTGCCAGATGGAGGAGCCTGGGGACAGAGCCCGGGGTTAGTGCCACTGCCCCAAGGCAGGGCCGTGGGGGGGCGGGGGGGCTCACACACGGAGGGATGTCCACTCGGCCACCCCCTCCAGGGGGCCCTGGGCACGCTCTGTGCTGTGCCTGACAGTTGGCAGCCCTGCCCCAGGGGACGCACAGCCAGGCCGGGGACATGACACGGCAGGCACACCGTGAGCTCCCGGCTCCCACAGGCTCATCTCTAGGCCACGGGCCGGGTGCATGAGCTGCCACGTTTCCCAGGTCCACGGGGGCTCCCCTCCGTGGCGTTTGTAAGGCCTTGAGGCCTGTGGGCCATTCCCCACTTCGCCCCACTAGCCAGGCCAGGGGCCCGCTTCCTCAAAGGCTCAGGACCCGGGGACGGGGGACACACCCTTCCTTTTAATCTTGGTCAACCCAGTGGGCAAACAGGAACATCGACTAGTTATTTTACCCCGATGGCCATGAGTGCCATACCCCGGCCGGTGTTTCCTGGGAAGAGGCTGTGCTGGGAAGCCGCCCAGAGGAAGGGGTGGTCGGGGGGAACCCTGCTCCTCAGAGCTTCACTGCACGAGTCACCTGGCAGCTTACACCTGCATGGAGCCCCGCACCAGGCAGACCAGGCAGAGGGTCTGGGGGTCCACACAGGGTGGGTGGGGCCCTGGGGTCCGTGGCTTGGAGCTCGAAAACCTCGGCCTGGTCACACCTCACCTAGCTCATGGGAGCAGCGGGCCTGGGGAGTCACCGCAGGAATCAGTTCACACGTGGGCGCCGGCCTCAGCCAGGCCGGGCAGAGTCTCTTTGTTCCTGACACGGCCCCATGTGCAGCTCGTGTCCCCACGCTGCTGTCCTGACCACAGGGCTTGGCGGCAGGAGGGACTGAAAGCACTGATCACGGTGGGGGTGGGCACCTCGGGGGGGGTCACCCCTCCTGCTAGACGGCCCAGCCCTGCTGTAGGGGCGCAAAGGACCTCTTTCACGGGCTCTGCAGCGGGGACTCGAGGAACAAGAGGGGATGTCGGGGACACGGCCATCCTGGCTGACATCACCCCGAGAGGCTCGGCCTCAGCAAGGGAGGCCTGTGTGGCACCCCGGCCCAGATGTCACCACATGATGCCATTACACAGCCCATCTGCGAGGCAGTGTGTGGCCCTGCCCCTGCCCGGCGGCCCCAACGCTGGGGACAGAGAGATCATTGAAAAGAACTTGCGGCCAAAGAGACGGGTCTCACCCGGCCTCGGTGGCTCGGTGGTTGAGCACTGACCCACGAACCAGGAGGTCACAGTTCAATTCCCGGTCAGGGCACATGCCCAGGTTGCGGGCTCGATCCCCAGTGGGGGGCGTGCAGGAGGCAGCCGATCTATGATTCTCTCTCATCACTGATGCTTCTATCTCTCTCCCCCTCTCCCTTCCTCTGAAATCAATAAAAATATATTTTAAAGAGATGGGTCTCGATACTGACCATCCTCCCCGAGGCCTCTCGGGAGGGTCCCAGCAGCACCCTGCTCCCCCCACCCCCGCCCCAGGCAGACTAGGGCCCCTGGGCTCTGCCTCCCAGCACCACCCGCTGTCCTGCAAGCCCATCAGGAAAGCCTGCTTGGGCCCTGTCCCCGCTCCCCGCTGCATTGTGGGGGACCCCTAACTAGCGGAGAACACACATGACCCCGTCCACACGCAGCTCGTGGGAGGGGCCTGGGAGATGGTCCCCTGCCCCGGGGACCGGCGGCGTGCACACGCTTACCTTGGAGGTACATCTCCTCACCCTCGGCGAACATCCGGCCGCATCGGACACAGAGCGCGCACAGCGGGTGGTAGTGCTTCTCGCCCGCCTGTGGGGACAGAGAGAGGGGTCCTGTGGGGGTGCAGCGGAGAATCCTCCGGCCCAAGAACAAGGTGCCC